GCTCCACCTGCCTCCCCCTCCCGAGGCCTCGGCCGGATGTGGATTTCCCTCAGGCAAAAAGGTTTTGGTGCGTTTGGCACTGGGCAGTGCCAAGCCCTGGTTTGAATAAAGACAAGAACCTTTGGATTAGAAACACCAGCCTGTCTCCATTTTTCTGGGTTGTTTTTTGTTTTTGCTTTTGTGAGTGTGGGTTTTCTGGAGGAGTCCTGGGGCAGCTTTGTGGTGTCACCAGCTGTGCCCTGTGTGGGGTGGCACTGCCAGGGAGCCAGTGCTGTGTGGGTCTGACCCATATCCAGACCCTGGAAGAGCTTTGATCCAGCCTGATGTGGGGAAGTACTCACTAGTGTAATTAATCACTGGTGTAATTAATCCCTGTTAATGAGGTGGAGCTGGGGGTGGGTTGGGATGTGTCTGTTCAGGGGGAATTTTGTATTTTGTGTGGTTCTGGTTCTGCTTGCTGTGAATCCTTGTGGCTCTGCTCCTCACTCTGTTACATCCATGAGCTCGAAATTCCAGCTGGAACAGGAGCTGCTCCAGGATGGCTGTGCAGGTGTCACTTCTGAGCCCAACTGCATCCCCCCTCAGGAGTGTGAATCCATGGAAATGTCACAACACCACCCTGGAGCCTCGGGGACACCTGGAGCAGAGGACACCCAACATCTTCATCTCTTGTGGGATAAAAGCCTTCGGATTGGTTCCTGTCTGTGCAGAATCAGCTCCTCCAGGCCCGTGTGGGCCCTTAGACCTGGAACCTCCTGCGGGTCCCAGACCGGACCAACCTGTGCAGAACGAGCCGGTTCTGCTGGGCCATACCCGGCAGCTCTGGCCCCCGTGGGGAGGTGAAACCCCACAGGTGAAAGATGAAGGTGGCTTCCCAAAAAAGTGGGATGCTCAGGGCTGGCCTGGGGTGGCTGCAAGGTCCAGGTGGCTGTGACCTCTCTGGGTCCCACCTTGAGCCAGCGGGAAGGAGCGGTTTCTTTGGAACCCGAAATTTCCCTGGATCATCAGGGGCAGGTTTGGGGGAAAGTGGAGGCTCCGTCCCTCTCAGCTG